TCAGCCTCCTTTTCTTCAGACTAAACAACCCCAAGTCCCTCAGCTGCTCCTCATAAGACTTTTGCTCTAGACCCTTGATGAGCTTTGTTGCCCTTCTCTGGACCCTCTCCAGCACCTCAGTTGCTTTCTTATACTGTGGCACCCAGAATTGAACACAGTACTCAAGGTGTGGCCTCACCAGTGCTGAGTACAGTGGGACAATCATTTTCCTGGTCCTGCTGGCCACACTATTCCTGATGCAGGCCAGGATGCCGTTTGCCTTCTTGGCCACCTGGGCACGCTGCTGGCTCATGTTCATCAGGCTGTCAACAAGCACCTCCAGGTCCGTTTCTGCCTGGCAGCTCCAACCACTTGTCCCCATGCCTGTAGCACTGTGTGGGGTTGTTGTGACCCAAGTGCAGGACCCAGCACTTGGCCTTGTTGAGGCTCATACAATTGGCTTTCACCCATGGATCCAGCCCATCCAGGTCCCTCTGCAGAGCCTTCCTACCCTCCAGCAAATCCACACTCCCACCTAACTTGGTGTCATCTGCAAGCTTAATCAGTCCCCTCATCCAAATAGTTGATAAAAATATTTAACAGGAGTAGCGCCAACACTGGGCCCTGGGGAACACCACTTTTGATTGGTGTCAGAAGTGATAGCACACAGTGATATAATAAGAGGTAACGAGCAACTCATGGTGGGATGCAGAACTAACACAGTGATATAATAAGAGGTAACGAGCAACTTGTGGTGGGATGCAGAACTATGATTGCAGATGTAGCTCTTTAACACTGTTAAATGCATGACTAGTTGTCATTAGCGCAAGCAGATGTAGCTCTTTAACACTGTTAAATGCACTACTTGTTGTCATTAGCACAGCTTTCTGATGAATTACAGAGGGGTCTGTAAATGGTTATGAAAGTGGAGCAACAGAAGTATCTGCTATACTCAGGGAAAGTATCATAGAGGTAGGATCATCTACGTCATCTTAGTAGTGATGTGGAGCTCTGGGAGACTGGTACTGAGGGGAAAGGATGCCACATACCGCTGGCAGTGTGTGTACATACCCTGCTATCAGTCTCCTGAGCTGCAGGAGCATGCAGCTGTGGAGGCAGACACATATTTGATTAAAGTATCATTGCTAGACAACAGCTTAGATTGCCCCACAGCTGCTAGGCTGTATTTAGTTATGCTGTTTAGATAGAAGTTGGACTTCTGTCCCTTTCTCAGAATTTTAAGTTCATCACTTCAGGAGGAGACCCTTTATAATCAGTTTTCCCAATTACATGGGATGGGAGGAGTGGTAAACAATATAATTGCTCTCATTTCTTGCCTTTTCTTAATAAACGAAACTTGGCTGCTCCTTGAGGTCTTCTTTCTCCATGCCTTTTCCTTACAAGGTATGTCTCCAGCAGCTGTTTTCCCATGACTGCCATATCCAGTTATCTTTCCCAGTTACTGTTTGGGGTTTTGTTTTTTTCAGCAGCTGTATTTCTTCAGTTAAAAGCTATGGGTGGAATTAATTCTTAGGGCTAAGTCTTATTATAAACTGAACAGTTAAATAGCATCAAGCCATAAGATAGTGGCTTTTGTCATCCCTGAAGAGTTAAGTGGGAGCTCTGAAACCAACACTTAGATGGGAATAACTCTTGCTGTATTAAAAAAAACAGTTTAAGATTTATCATTAGTGCCTTGTATGTCACCTGCTTTTGTGAAGCACAGGAGAGCTCTGAAATGTACTTGACCTTAGTTCCTCTTCTCTGAGGAGTCTCTTAGAGACTCTAAGAACAGTTCAGCATCTCAGAGAGAATCTCTTTTGAGAGCAGATCAAGGTATGTGTCCTGTTCCTAATGATGTTTGAGAGTGGTGCTGGCAAACAGCCTGTGAAGTAAGGTGTTGCTTCAGTGCAATTTCTCCTCCCATTGCCACCACCTCACTAATGAACATTTATGGGATGCACTGTTGGGAGTTTGCTGACATATCTATGGTTCATGCAAATGTAGATGCAGCCTTTTGTGGCTGATCTGAAGGAGGAGCACACAAACCTTAGTAGGATACCGTCTCCTTTCAGCAGGCTTCCTGCTGTGCAAGTTAATTGAAATGCTGGCTAAGACTTGCTCCTTACCAGTGTAGCTGCCTGCCCTGTGCTGCTTTCCATAGCACCTCACACTGAAA